ACAGCTAAACTTATAGTTAAAACTTAATCCTATAAATTGAAAGTGCTCTAAAATTATGTATCAGTAACCCTAATCCTAAGCCAGAGATGAAGAAAGAAATGAGTAGGATGCTGCGCGCATGCGCAACACACGATAGCGTCCACTTGTAGTGGTCATTTTGCCATTTGTACATAGATAGGAGATAAAACAAATTGTAAATATAGGATAGTACAAAATGTATCGTCGGAAGCGATACATCCCGTTTTCTGCTGTAGTCCGGTCGTAGATTAAAGAGAAAAGTAAACCCAATCCAGTAGTGCAATTGATTAACTATTTCCTTGAGTGATCCGAAAGTGTTCCTGTGACGACTATTAGCTTAAGTGGTCAAGCAGCATAAAGCAATCTCCGAATCGCGCGTTGTGTGCATAGTGCAAAAGTGCATCAGGAGCAGTTTGTATTACAAAGTGTCCGAGCAAGGTGGAGAAAATTGCAAACACTGGGACTAGTCCCCCCGGTGAATTCATCATACCAATCTTCTGGGCCGTCGATTGATAGACGGTGGAAAATCCTTCGAAAAGGAACGGGTAAGCCCCAGCAGCAACAGTTGTTTGAATTTCACTAGTACGACGTGTATATCGATTTGAAAGATGTGTAGTTTGGATTTATGTGTTTGTTTTAATAGAACCTAAATGAAGGGTATTGAAAAAAACCCCAGCCATTTAGGTAAATAAATGTAGGGAAATATAATTCCAGGTTATTTATCTGACAGCCCACTTAGATGAGGCTATTGAGTGTCTCTAAATGAAGGGAAAAAAAGTTTCAGGCCATTTAGAGAGTCAAATGAAGGGAACAATGATTCCAGACCATTTGACTGATCCTGTATACAAAAAAAGACAAAGGGAGCTTCGGGTTCCAGTCCGCTGTGTAAATTTATTTGGAATTAAATGTAATTTCACTTCAATTGGAAATAGATAAAACTAGTGAAAAATCAATCAATGAAGTTTTATGTGTACAAATGTAAATAAATATTTAGTAAATTTTGATAACACATCAATTTCAATATAGCAAATTTTGATCCCAATCTGGAAACGTTTATAGGAGCAGATGTAAACCCAGTCGGTCTCGGTGCTGTATTGTATCAGAAAACTGTGGCAGGATCACTGAAGATTATCAGTTACGCTTCCAAAACTTTATCGGATGTGGATCGTGGGGTTTAGCACTTGTATGGGTATCTGAAAAGCTTTATGGGATTTTTTCTGGCTTGTTACGGATCACAAACCTTTGCTAACCTTGGTAGAAAGATGAAAGCTTGATGTCGTATAACTACAAAGTAATACCTCAGCCGGGGAAAACAAACATTGCCGATCCATTTTCCCGGTTGTGCCAAGAAATGAACATTTGTAATCAAAGCTACGACGAGGAGAGCGAGAGAATCATACGTCTGGTATCTAACGATGCTTGTCCAGCGGCTATACATTTGAAGACCTTATTGATGCTACAAACCAAGATATTGAACTGGTAGACCTCATGCGATGGATGTCTTACCCTCTTAAAAGGTAGCCTAAAACTTTATCTAATTATAAAAAAAGTTCCAAATGATCGTTCCACGGATGGCAAGCTCATACTTAAGAATAACAGAATAATAATTCCCAATTGAAAGTTCATGAACTTGCTCTCGAACAACATTAAGGATGCGATGCAATGGAAAAACGTCTGAGGCAGAAAGTTTGGTGGAGTCCGTGAAAGTATATTGGTATCGGAAACAGATGTTGTACCAATGACAAGAAGTGTTGCCAGAAGGTCCTTGGCGTAAGTTGGCGTTGGATTTCACTGAAGTAGCTAATGGAGCCCATCTATTAGTTATTGTTGGTTACTTTTCAAGATATCCTGATATTGAGATTATGGCTTCAACCACGGCAAAGGCTATCATATTAAATTTAAGAACCATATTTTCAAGATAAGTATACCCTGAGGAAATTGTATGCGATAATGGTCCTCCTTTTGCATCAATTAAATTTTAGCAATTATGTAAGACAAGTGAGGTTAAAATCATGCACTCAATTCCATACGTAGTTCCAAAATGGTTTGGTAGAAAGACATTGGAGATTGGAAAAATGATTTACAGGATTTCCTATTAGCTTACCATTATACACCCATTCAATAACAAATGTAACTCCAGCAAAAGTTATGCTAGGAAGAAACTTGAAGGATAAAATACCTACGAATGTTCAAACCGAACATTCGAAGGTTTATAACAATGCGATAAATTACGATAAAGCGAAGAAAGAAAAGAAAAAATAATATGGAGATGCAAAAATGCGGGCGAAAGAATCAAGAATTGACGTTGGAGATCATGTGGTATTGAAAAATCTGGTGAAACGCTGCAAATTGGATACCAATTTCAATCCACAGTCTCATGTGGTTGTGAAGAAAAATTGAACAAGGCTCACCCTCAAGAAATTGTCCACGGGAATCGAATTTGATCACCATGTTAATCATGCTTAATTTTTGATTTCCAGTAATCCATGCAACACCGAAAGTATAGTTTTAGATGAAGTTCTCACCAACTTTGAAGATGTTCAGACTAATGAAGTAGAGGAAAAACAACGCTAGGTTCTGCAGGAAGTCAAAGCAAAAGACAGAAACGCAAACCGGAATATTTAAATGATTTTGAATTTTACAAAATTAATAAGCTACAATGAAAAACTAAATTATAATATGAATAAAATTAAAATTAAAAGGAAGAAGAGATGTAGTAGGCATATATTGATACAAATTTTAATAGAAGGCCGAGCTAGGAAACTTAAAATATGTTAACATTCATATTCAACTACCTAACTGAACAAGTTGAATTATTTGGAGTTGCTACAAAGATTGTATCATTATTGCTTTCCACTTCTGACATAGCGTTATCATTCGGTTCGTTGCACGCTTGTCATTTTGTCATTTGGAGATATTTTTTGATTCCTTGGTCGTGAATGTGTTTATATTCCTAAAAAAAAAATCCACAGAAAATTTGTCTCAATTTCATGAACTCTGTTTTCAAGATTCTGTAGCTTCCGAAAAACGAAAATTAAAAACAGGAAATTTATTTTATTACTGAAATAGGGGTATTTGCACTCTCTACCCCTTATGACAGCGCCCATTTAATTAATGATGCTGAGCAATAAATAATTCTTGAATGAATACATAATTAATGCAGCGCGCTCAAATCTCTGGCGTCAAGTGGCCGCAATTTTCAAATGCAAAACCATTCTTATCGAGCCTACGGCAAGATGGAGAAAGCAATTACGTTCACATTAATTTCCACTCCAAAGAACTAAACTCGAATCGAATGTACCCACTCCAGTCCCAACTAGGCCTATCTCATCGTTCGTCCGCACCGATTGCATCAGATCATTCTCGTACTATATCGAATATTATTTTCGGAAAGCTTACCGAAATTGGCTTCATCCGGTTATGTGCCTTATGGGTTGGCTGAGTATGATAATACAGTCTCCGGCAAGATCAAAGCTTACTTCATCCTTGCAGTACCAGCAGCACCAGTCAGTGGTAGTGGATCCTGATGGTAATCCAATCAAATCGAACACCATACCATGCACGAGGAAAAATGTATTTCTTCACCGCCTTGCCTGAAGAAAAAAAAACGCTTGCCGAGTGCTCCAAGAAAATCTTGGAACCAGGCCAACCGGGTGGCATGTGGAAGTGGCAGAACAGTTTGCCAATCTGAAAATCCTTGTTTGTTACCGACCCCAAACCGACCGACAAGTGTCTGTTTATTTTGAGGGACGCCGACCACAGAGTCTCTTTCGCCGGGTTGGAAACTTTCGCGAATGGCATGAAGAGCTGTGTTGTGGCGTAGGGTAGGATGGTGTAAAACGCACCGTTTAAGTAAAATCGTCAATTGCTTGCATATGGATGCTAAAAACAGGGAGACAGTAATTGTGTATGGTTCAGTACAATGTTTTCTACGAAGATCGAGTGATTTTAAACTCCAAAACGATGGTTTTTCATGGCATCAGAGCATTTTTTTAAATCGATAGGTATTCTAAATGATTATTCCTTAATTTTACATCAGAAAAAAATAAGGTCTCAATAGAGTGTTAAATTTAAATTAATAAAGCAAAACATCTATAAAATATACGAAAGTGTGAATTCGATCCAATCTTTTACGATATATGCTGTTAAAGGCATCATTTTTAGGCGATGATTCTAACAACTGTGTCCTGAAAAAGCATCTGAGGAAAAGTCATCGATGTTTTTCTACAAGTGGGCATTTTACCCCAGGGGTGCATTACGGGCTGTTCTCCCCTACTTTGTCAGGCTCAGTCAGAAGAGGACGTGAGGGGAAATAATGAGACAGAAAGCCTATTTTGCAGACATTGTTTGCCTATGATGATATCTCATACACGTCGGTAAACAGCTCTGGATGAGTTGTGTTAGCTGTAGTTGTAGTGGATGTATAGTTACGTATGTTTAACATATGTTTGCGAGATAAGTTCTGGTCAGAAAGGTTGTGGCAAAGAAGAATCGGTTTTACAGCTCTATTTGATCAACATGCAATAGACTGCCAGATCCAGCTTTCATCATCCCTCAAAGCTGTAATAAATATTTATAACTACACCGAAAACTAGTTATCCGAGCCGAAAATTTTCCTAGAGCCGGTGCCGAAAGCTTTGCGAACCATGTCTCCTCGGTCTGTTGGCAGTAGTGTCAGCAGAGCGGCAAAATTGAATTTTGAATCAATTCCAACGATATCAACAACAGCATAAATTTGACTCAGCAGCTCGTCCCACAGAGATTGCTTTACCATCAACCAACCTACGACTAGAGGAAGTAAGAATAAAATTCAATTTCCTCAACCTTCGAACCGATTTCCTCTTTTAGCCAGAAGGAAGCGAAACGTAGAATGTAAATTGATCTAACTCTGCTTGTTAAACTAAATTAGCATGATGATTTTTCATCTCACATGTGTGCGTCATTCGGACTAATTTTTGGTTAACTTTTTCCATTTATTACAGAACACTTCAGAACATCAACGAGCCCGGCGCTGGAACACGTTCCCTGTACGGTTCCCGTCCCACGGAAAAGAAAGCCCGCCTCTCCCGTTCCCTAACGCTTCCTGTTCTGTTCAACTTTCCCGGCGCCAATGCCTTCGTCGGTCGACTTCAGCAGCAACCGCAGCCGCTGGAGGCCTTCAAAACTTCCTCCAGTAAGCTATCCAAAGTAAACTATCACCTGAAGTCACTCAGCGCTCCTTCTTCTTTCCCACAGACAACTTCCTGTACGAGTCGAAAATCGCCGCTGGCTCCAGCACTACCCCAGTTAGCGCCAACAGTCCCAAGATTCTACTTACCGCGGATGACACTTCGTTCGACTATCGGCGCAAGTCATCCGGTGGAAGTTTGTTCACGCCCAGCGGTGGAGCTCCTTCGGTAGCACCGGCTGAACCGCACATTTACGATTTCGACGAGAAGCGCTCCAGTGGGGATGGTTCGGTTGTGATAAGCGTTACTTCACCGACTGCCTACCAGATCCCGACGTCCAAATCGCTAGGACTGAACAGCTTCAACTTTGTGAACCTTCAGAATGCAGCCAACACGGCACCGTCGAGTGCCTATAACAGCAGTAACTTCAATACCGGTAATAGCAGCCTAATAGGTAGTGGTAACAGTAGCACTAGTTTTAGCAGTAGTATCAAACGGGGTAGCGACGCAACGGCGTACGGCTCGTCCGCATCCGCACAGCTCATTAGCAATAGTACCAACAATGCCATCTACCGGCTGGCCCGGATCATCAATCAGACAACGAAATCGCCGACCTCGCCGGGAATGGGCGGAACCGGACCGCAAGGCCCTGGACTGCTACACCACCAGGCCAACGATGACTCGGCGCGGAGGCTATCCTGGGAAAGGTGAGCTCCTTCGTTTCCCATCAAATAACTAGTTCTTGAAAATGTCCCCTTCACTCCACCTAGGCGCGACAAGGACAGCAAGCGCATTCCTCGCTCGTCCAGCATCGACTCGATGGTGGACGCCGTTTGGAGCGAGTTTCCGTCGTCAGCTCCCGGCAGTGCGCGCAATTCGGTATCGAACCAGTCGTCCCAGTCAACGTCGAATGTTCCCTCGAGCCTGAATATTTTTCTCAGTTCGAACCGACGGGAGAGTATGCTCAGCCCATCGTCCAACCGGCGGTCCAAGCATCAGCGGGGAATTTCCGGTAAGTGTATTTTTTGCAAATGACAGCGGCGTAGTCTGGCGTGAGCCTTTTCCTGCCGATTAAAAAATTAAGTGTACTCCACAAATGAGATCTATTGATATAGTTTTTCGATGTAGGACTACGTCTGTGATTTTTATATGGGGGTTCACTATGTGAAAACCGAAAATGGAACATATAACAAAATTATGTAAGATTTTGGCCGTTAATAACTCAGCTGCCCCTGGATCAATTTCAATAATTTTATCACCAATCGATCAGATATATTTCTACGCATCTGTAACATCTAAGACTTTATCATTTTTCATAATGTCACTATTGAAAATTGCACGAATGTGCAACTGTTGCTTTGATAATTAAAATTATCACCGATTGCCTGCGAAAAGATTTCCCTAACACAGATTTCAAACTTGGATTCCATCCGGTCTCACCAAACGGTGTTTATTCAATCACCGCGTGGTGAGCGGTGGTGTATTCCAGTACACAACGGTAGGCTTCCCGCAAGCAGCTAGCTATCAAGGCTGACCTTAACCGCTGATCGGATTCAGTTCCAATCACCGTGTGTGGTGGTGTCCGGTCGTCGGCATCAGCTGCAGTAGCAGCACTGGTTTCGGCGCGTAGCGTTGAACATTGTTCTCCAGTTCACAATGAAAGGCAGCCTGCAAGCAGTAAGCTGCAGCCCACATGAGCATCCATAGAAGGAGGAAGAAGCCGCTCCGCTATTGATCGGAATCAGTAGCTCTTGGTGAGTCGCTGTGGGCCATCTATGCCAATCGCGTCACCCTCATTCCAAACAACATACAGCTCATTAGCCTCATCTGTGTTAAACACTCTAATAGCTCAGCATTACTCAACCATCACGACAAAACGACCACCATAAATTTGTAAAATTTATGTACATTTGCCAAGGTCATCAATCGGATGTCAGCTCCTATATGAAGATAGAGCTGGAATTAGGGCGTAACAGCTTTTGTAAACAATGACTTCTTTCGATGATTTCGTGAAAGACAAGGCTCGCCCACGCAAATCAACATCACCATCAGGTAGGGTAAGACTTCCTCTACCCGACGGTAATGTTGGTTTGCGTGGGTGTACCTTGAATTCCTAAAAATCACCGAGAGAAGTCATTGTTTACAAAAACTGTTACGCCTAATTCCAGCTCTATCTAGATATGTTTAAATTTAACATACCATGAACTTTACAGCAACATTGGACGTGCTTTTTAAAAAACCAAAGTCGGTCGCGGCATGAAAGTGGTCTGATTTTGATCCAGAGATGATGGATTTTAATTCTTAATACGCCAATCGATAGGAATTTTTGCTCCGTATCTGTTAAAATTAAGACTTTAATTTTTCAAAATGTCACTATTGAAAATTAAACGAATGTGAAACTGTTGCTATGATAATTGCACAACTGTTGCTGCGAAAAGCGATTTCCCAAACACAGATTTCAAAGTTGAGTTCCATCCGTTCTCCCAAACGGTGTTTATTCAATCACCGCGTGGTGAGTAGTGGTGTTTTCCAGTACACATCGAAAGGTTGCCTGCAAGCAGCGAGATGCAGCTCACATGAGCATCCATAGAAGGATGATGAAGCCGCATCGCTATTGATCGGAATCAGTAGCTCTTCGGGAGTTGCTGTGGGCCATCTATGTCAAGCGCTTCATTTTAAACAGTACAAACAGAGAGAACCCCGCTCAAATCCCTATCCCTATATATAATGAAACATAAATAAATTTTATTTAAGAAAAAACATTATATTCAGCGTCCTTGAGAAGTATAAATAAATTGAATCGTGAATAGCAGTTCCAGGCCAAATGCAAGAGAATGATATTTTTTAACTCGATCTTCTCCGATTCGCAACTTTGCGTAATTGTTTGTTATGGTCAATGATTCACCATTTTTGCTAAGTTTAGGCCAATTTTAATGATGCAAAATTTTCGTCTTTGAATTTCTTAAACTGGCCACCAATTTGTTGTACCCGATCTGTCTTCATGGATTCCGGAATTTCCCTGCTTCCTTAAAATGCAAACTAGCCTCTTAGGTGGGTGTGAAAGTTTTGTGATAGCTTTCTTCAAAATAATCCGAGAGAGCACTGCGAGCGCCAACTGATAGACGGATTTTATTTTTTCCTCTACGAATTATATAAAACTTCGAATAATTGTTCACAAGCAAGTTTACTCAACATATATCTATGAATTTGTGTTACTCGGGAAGTTTGAGCCAACATTCGGCCATTTGGCACTCGACAATGTTTTTTTTAAATGGCGTATTCAACACCAGCACGTCTGAGACAAAGTTGTAGGAAACTGGATTTTGTTCATTAAGGAAAATTTAACATTTTTGATAATTGAAAGCTTATTAACATAAGTTCAAAAAACTTAAATACGTTCTTTTTTGACGTAGGACTACGTCTTTCGCGAAGGGTGCCAATCCAGGGAAATGCAACGAAAATTTGTCAGGCTTTAAATGCTAACAACTTGGCCAATAATCAATGGATTTTGATGATTTGTATGTCGATCGATTCGGAAGTTTAATAAGATTTGTGTGTAGCGTCACCAGTGGTGTAGTGGTAAGCGTGATTGCCTCTCACCCCAGCAGGCCTGGGTTCAATCCCAGTCGGCGCTGCCGGGATGTTCTGCGGCATAACATCTCTGATCAGGGAAGTAAAGCCGTTGGTCCCCGGTTCATGAGTTGATGGGTCGATAGGTAGGGTCCAGGTGTGGGAGCTACCTCCCTGGCGTCGATAGCATTGGTGCTCAGCACGGAAAACTAGGTCGACGGTAAACAAATCAAGAAAAAAAAATTTGTGTGGTATGTCACACATTATAAATGATAAATATTTAAAAAGCTAAAACTTAAGAAATATGGAAAAATTCTAATTTCTTCGACCGCAAGGTGCTCACCCCTATCACAGCCATTAGAAAATTGGTCCCTAACAATACAAGCCGAAGCCGCATAATCATTCAGCGTTGCACGTTGGACGGTCGACCTCGAACTTGTTCGCTACAGCGTGGACATTGTAGCATTTTTTCTATTCGTAAAAAGTTTGACTGCGTCAGTCCTATGTGCCTACGGTTTCGTCCCCTCCCCCGGGACTATCGTGGCGTCGAGATGACGCCCCATCATCAAATGAAAACGAAGAGCTGCTCACAACAGAGGAACACATAACCATCATGACAGAAGCAATCATCATAAAGCGATCTTGCAAAACCAGAACCGAGCAGATTCTTGCTGCATCACGTTTCATCGACAATTATGGACCGTGAAGCTATCAAGATCGCCAACTAGAACGCTTGTTCGCTCAAGAGCAAGAACATCGAGTTCGTTCACTTCCTCAACGAACGAAACATCGACATCATCACTGAAACCCACCTGAAACCGGAGGTAAACGTCTACCTTGCTGACTTTCGGCTTCTAAGACTTGACCGAACCAGCTCCGGGGGAAGAGGAGTGACCATTACTGTAAACATCTGCTGGCGGCTTCTGCCGAGCTTCCAGCTGAAAACCATCGAAGCTTTAGGGGTAGAAGTCTCCACTCCTGTCGGTCCTATCACCATCATTGCGACCTACTGCCCCAAGCAAGTCACCATCAGGGACGGGTCGGCAGCACCTACGGAGGGATATCATCAGACTAACTCGATGGTGCGAAAAGTACATCATTGCGGGCGACCTGAACACCAAACACCAGACTTGGGCCAAATGTCGACGCAATCAATACAGCACAATCCTGCAAGAGGCTCGCTACACCATATTAGCGCCGGACTCTCCCTACCGGTTGAGCCGGTCTGGCGTACACTCCTCCATCGACATATTCATCAGCAACATGGGAGACTACATCTCGCTACCTTCAACCCACCAAGAGCTACGCAACTACCATCATGTCAGCTGGGAGCAGTTCCAACACTGTGTCGACTCCACTGTCGACTACGGTGTCCTTCCGGAGACGCCCGAAAACGTTGACCGGTGTCTGCGTTCCATCGAGGAGGCGATATCCCGGGCCAGGGAACAACACGTGCCAGTAACCAGACAGGATCAGACTCCGTAACTCCATCCGAAGGCTGTATAAGCGTTCTGGTTTGCGTGTCTTGAAAACCCATTGCTACCATCTTACAAAAATCATCCAAGCCAGGATGCTGGACCTTAGAAATCAGGATTTTGCTATCAAGATCCGCTCCCTCACAGGTTGTGCAAAGCCCTTCTGGAAACTAACGAAAATCCTTAAAAATAAGCCAAGGCCCATTCCACCACTGACCTCACTGGACCGTCCCGGCGACCCAGTAGTTCATCTGATAACTCCTGAAGAGAAGACTGATGCGATAGGTCAACACTTCGTCAGCTCCCATAATCTCGGACAACACATCGTCAACCCTCACGAAGCTGAGGTTGCTGAAAATGCAACCAATCTTCATCAGATTCCCAATATTTTTTCTGAGGAATCCGAGATTACGGCTGACGAACTGTGACGAACAAATCATCTAAAAACATGAAGGCTCCAGGTTTGGACAACATCCTGAATCTGGAACTCAAACACTTGAGGTTCCAGATTCTACAACCATCTGGCACTGATTTTTAATCTGTGCTCCTGACTTGGCTACTTCCCCTCGTGTTGGAAGTCAGCTAAAGTCATACCCATCCGGAAACCTGGGAAGGATCCGTCCTCTCCTTCAAGTTATCGACCAATCAGCCTTCTCTCAGGGGTATCGAAAGAGCAGTCTACCACCGGCTTCTAACATCTGCCGAAGAAAAAAACTTGTTACTCGAGGAACAGTTTGGATTTCAGAAAGGTCGTTCGACCGTCCACCAGCTGACTCGAGTAACAAACATTCTCAGACGGAACAAGTCTGTTTCGAAAACATCTGCCATGGCGTTGTTGGACGTTGAAAAAACGTTCGACAATGTCTGGCATGATGGCCTGGTGTTTGAATTGCAGCAGTACGGTCTTCCAATCTTCCTAGTGAAGATAATAAATAACTATCTATCCAACAGGACGTTCCGAGTCTCT